TTTTTTTTTTTCTTTTTTTCTTTTTTTTTGCTTCTTTATAGACATAAAAAAATTATTGTTGGTAACATTTTGGCCTTTTTCACATGCTATCGTTTTCATCGGTGTTTACTATTATAAATTTTAGCATTCTGGTATTATTTTCACCCGCTTTTAGTCATACTTTTTTTCCAGAGCCTTGAGTTGTCCCAGGATGGTGATGAATCCGGACGAAAATTTCTCGGCTCCAATATTGCCGAAATCCCCTGTATCAATTACTGTCAATGATTTAGATAGGTAATGATTTTAACAGCTGGTTGTCGTCGACTTGTTGAATTTTATTCATTTTTATGCTTTTGCGATTGGGTAGATTAGTTTGGTATTTTGATCGATATTGAATTAAATTTTAGGTTTCCTTCTTGATATTTACGATTTTTGCCAGGTATTTTTTAGGGGATAGGTGAATCTTAAAAGGTAATATGAAAAGGAATACTCTTTTTGAAGGTTTACAGGGCTTTATTTTATGCAAGCTCATTATCTATAGAAGTTGGGAATATATCTAAATGCTTTTTCCTCTTTTTTATTCACTGGCTATTTAGGTTGATCGTTTAGATGTCTTGGCTAGAGGCGAACTTTAACCATGTTTTGAGTTTTAGTTTCGGACCTGCAGCTTTCTACATAAATTTCAAAAGTGGAAGATATATTTTTTTCTTTCTTGTGCATAAAACTGTGTAGCAATAGCCTACTTTAGCATGCGGATTTCCAAGGTCCCCCTCCGGAAGCTCCCTTCTGCGTTTTTCGTCTTCTCTTTACTTGAGCTTTGTTTGCTCACTGTTTTCTTATATTGTTGCTAATACACGTTTCAAGCCATTTTTTTTAAAATGTTTTTGTACATAAATGGACCGACTATGACTACACATTGAACTATATTAAGATTTTCAAGGCAAATAGAAACACTAATGAAGTGCGAATGCATATCCGAACAAGAAGTAAAGTCACTTTGCGCTAAAGCTAGAGAAATCCTTTTACAGGAAGGCAACGTTCAAGTTGTCGACTCTCCTGTTACGGTTCGTTCTTTTTGACTAGACTGCTGACTCTAAGGATTTAAACTTTTTG